ATCATAATGGTAGTGAAGCTGAGGTATAAGTTCTTTGTGCTCTGAAGGTCCATCATGGGTAATGTACAGCAGGGGTCTCTGGAGGTAGGGGAGTAGTAATGTGTTGAGCGCTCTTAAGCCAGGCTCAGCCGTGGCCACTTAGCCACTATGTGATTCTGGTAGATTGTTTAACTGTTCTGAGTTTCTGTTTCCTCCATTATAAAGTGAAGATTATAGTGGTGCCCCTTTTATCAGGTTTATCACCTTTATAAAGGAGCTAATAATCCCCCCAAAATTTAGAATGGTAAACAGCACATAGCAAGAGCACAATTAATGTTAGATATTATTTTTTTGTAGGTATTTGTAAATTTATTTATTTATTTTTATATATGACAGTGGAATGCATTACAATTCATATTCCACATATAGAGCACAATTTTTTGTATCTCTGGTTGTATAAAATATATACTCACACCAATTCGTGTCTTCATACATATACTTTAGATAATGATTTCCATCACATTCCACCAACATTTCTAACCCCCTGCCTACTCCCTTCCCCTCTTACCCGTCTGCCCTATCTAGAGTTTGTCTAATCCTCCCATACTCTCCCTCTCTACCCCACTATGAGTCAGCCTCCTTATATCAGAGAAAACATTCAGCATTTGTTTTTTGGGGGTTGGATAACTTCACTTAGTCTTATCTTCTCCAACTCCATCCATTTATCTGCAAATGCCATGATTTTATTCTCTTTTATTGCTGAGTAATATTCCATTGTGTCCTTCACAATGGATAAAAATGTGGCATATATACACAATGGAATATTACTTAGCTATTATTTCTTTATCTTCAAGGCACAGGACTCAGTACTGTGGGGAGTGCCAAGGGTATATGATGAGGGCATATAAAATATGCATACTAGTAAATATATATATATATATATATATATATATATATATATATATATATATACACTGAGAGTCATTCAGTGACTTGAAAGAGATGTTAATCAGACAAGAGGAGAGAGATCAGATTTATAGGCTCTGTTTAAAATAGTAAAGCATATATAATAAATATGTTCAAATAAACCTTTAGTTCCCTATTCAGTTGTCCATCTGCTAAAAATTAATATATTTTCTTATTTGGCATCTCTACACAATGTGCTTATGAAAAATAAAGTTTCTTTGAAGTCTTTAGGGTTTTGCTTTGACTAGAAAGGAATTATTCATGATTCCAATCAGTGCTATTGAGATTAATCAGAAGAAGTAATTAGATTTGTCTGCTGTAATAAAAAAAAAAGATATTGGGCACTGAAATGATAAGAAAAAGTGTAATTTTCTTCAAGCCACATAAACATCATTAGTGCCAATGATTGTTGAACACAAGTCGGGAGTACTTTGATAAAGTAAAAGCACTTAAAATTAACCTCTCTTCAAAATTGAGAAAACCCACTCTTGCTTGCTCTCCTTCTGCATTTAGCTTTACAGTGTTGAATATTCACTCTGCATACTATCCTGCTGATGACTGGATATATGATATTAACCTAAGGACATATGAAATTACAACTTCTAACAATGTGCTTTCAGCCACAGAAACATTTATGTGAATAGACTTATAGATAAGTCCATACCCAAAGACATGCTTCTTTATAGTTCTCCAATCTCATTAAACAATGCACGTTTTTTAAAAAATGCAAATTAAAGTAAGCTCATGTAACTCAATGATATTATTCATAATACTTCATTTAAAAGCTTCTACCTCTGCTCCTGTAGTTAAAATCCTGCCATGCATGAACGAGGGAGTCCATGTATTCATTGTGGGCAAGACAGCGTTAATAATGACCCTTCATTTTGAACCTTGTAAGTTTTTCTCCCAGTTGGACTTTTGTGATAGTCTCTCAGAAAACTACATAAAAGCCTCTTAAATTACACAAGACAAGACGAAGAGATCTGACGGGTTCACAAAAAGAAAATAGGCAGTCAACGCAAAGGAACATTGTTTAATCAAAAGAAGTTAAAGAGATAGGAACATGGAATTACAGGAAGAAATTTGAAATGGTGCAACCTGAAACAATTTAAAACCACTGGAAAACTTTTATTTTGTTACTTTTACTTTTTTTAAAGTGCTCTTGCTTTCCAGATATTTGTTCAGGGGATCTTCTGAATAGCTTAATTTTAATTTAGAATATGCTATGTTGAATAATTAATAGAATTTTCCTCACAATTTACTGACATCTCTAGATAGAATAAAATAACCCCTTGCCAGGTGTGGTGGCACACACCTGTGATCCCAGCTACTTGGGAGGCTGAGGCGGGAGGATCTCAAGGTCAGCTGGGCTACTTGGTGAGATCATCTCAAAAACAAAAAAACCCCTTAATGTGACCATTTTGTATTCTCATAGGAAAACCTGAATCATCAACAATAATGTAAAGACACAGCTATTTTAAGTAATTGGAATGATGTGCATTGAATGTTCATGTTAAAAAATTTACTTTATAGAATAAAAAATATTTAAAATTTGGTAAATGTATTATGAAACAACATTTACAGTGTTATTCATTTGTAGTACATGCAGAAATGTATTAGTGAGCAAATCTCTCAAAATGTATTTTGGATTAGGCTAAAAATTTATTGAAGCCTATTTATTACATACCAACCACTGTGCTACATTATTTCATTTAATCTTTACAGCAGTTTTGTTCATTATCACCTCAGTTTTACAGAGGAAAACCTCTATAGATTGAATAGTTCCAGAAATTCAAATATGTCTTTAGGTTGTCAGGTTAAAATTTTGTATTATAGATGTACATGAGGGAAAAAGTCCTTATCTAGTTTTGAAGTTCTGAATAGAATATTTTATATTAAATCCAGTGAAGTAAATAAATAACAGTATATGATGGTGGCAAGAGTGATTTAATATAAAATATAGTTTCATCAAAATACTGCTAGTGGCGGAAAGGTTTCATCTGATTGTTATTGCTACCCAACCATCATTAAATGGAATTTTATAATAGGAATTTTAAGATTTAACTTTAAGGCTTTACAGTGGAAAATAACAGACTGGTATAAAAACTTTTTATTAAAAATGGTTTTATTTTTGCATTAATAAATCAATCTCACATATATTATTGAACCAAAAGCTAAGTTGATGCCTAAGAATTAAGTCAAAGGAAAGTTAATCCAAAATTGCTTCTGGGTTTTAATTTAGACCAGGGGATAGGCAGAATGATTGCCAGTTTGCATTTCCTAAAAATGCCTGACTCAGTGCTCAATGAGTATTAGCTTGAGGGAAAGCCAGGCAGCCAAGTTCTTGAACTTGCAGACAGTTCTTAGTAACACCTTCTCCAGGGGCTTTTCCTTAGGTCTGTTAGTCCTAGTCCTTAGCTCTGATTCCCTCTTCCTCTTCCCCATTCAGTCAGCTGCTGCTGTCTCCTAGGCTAGCAAACATTTGGTGGGCTACTGCTTGGGGACTTGGTTTGATCCAGGCAATAACTCACCAGTGTTTTGGTCTCCATTTGGCTTTTAAGGGCAGCTCTACATTGTATTTTAGATGCATCCTCATTCATCATATTCAAAAACAACCTTAAACTCACATCTCATTCACAGCTGCTATATTTTCCTCTCTGAGAAACATAAGCTTATACTTTCGCATCCACCTTAGATATTTCAGCCCAGGACTTTAAGACAACATAGGTAATACCGTTGCTATGGTCACTACAAAAACCAGTGACTTGAAGCACTTTCTACCTTGACATATCTCTATTTTGTCAAATGAATGCCTCATCACTGCACAAACATCTGTGGAATGAATTTTATGAATAATCTCCATATGTTTTCATTCTTGTATTTGCCGAAGCATTTTGCCAACTTCTAGTTTTCACCCCCCAAATTCATCATCTTTTTATAAAACAGTGGTTCTGCAAGATTCAGAATACAATATGAAAATAATTATTGTGCTATTAAGTAGTAGGAAAACTAATCTCTGTTTCAAAGCCTTACTTTTGAGGCTGTTTATGAATAATTTTCTAAAACACACAAGGATAATAATTTCCTAAATATTGGCAGAATACAATAAGCCTTGTGTTTTGAAGCCTTTTCTAAATTATAGAATGCAAATAAAAAAAGAAGCTCTGGAAATATGTGGATTAATATACTCATTAGTCACCTCTGGAGACAGAACATTAAATGCAAATTTGTAAAAATATACAAAGTCATGTAGAATATAGCTTAAGGTTAAACCAACCAGTCAGAAGTCAGAGAGAAGAATTTCTCATTATAGGCTAAAGTGGCTTCAAACATTACCAATTTTTGGCTCTTGAGTATTTGACAAACTAACCTCTCCTCACTCTTCAGATTGGGAGTTCTAAATCTCTGGAATCATATGCCCTTTGAAAAATATGATAAAAACGGTGAAATCCTCATGGGAAAATACATGGGCTTGTGTGTATAAGTTTTCGCAAAGTTGGTAGCTTGTGGTCCTCCAGTCATAATCTAAGTCTTCATGTCTAGGAGGTCACTCGTTTCCAAGATAAAAACTCCTTTCCTAGGGCCTCCATCTGGCTAAAGGGGATGAGGTTGTCTCATTCCTTCAACTGTGCAGGGGTGTAGGTGGGAGAAGAGAGAACAGAGAGAAGAAAGATCTTCTCCTGGGAGCTTAGAAACAGCAACTCTTGAGAAGAAACTAGAAAGAGACAGGAGGCAAGGCCGACTTCATGTTTGGTGGAGAAGAAAGGTATATGGGTAGCAGGGGAGGCAAGACGAGGTTAGAGTGTGCTTTGAAGCCCTGCCTCCTGCAATGAAAACAATCTTTTGGGGACTCCAAGTTCTTTTCCTCTTGGCCTCTCTTATGCCCACCTTTTTCCTTTTAATTTTTTTTTCTTTTTAACTGTAGTAAATGAAAAGAAGTTTTCTTGTAGTAAACCCATGTAGCTTTCTCCAAATAGCCTTCAGAATTCCTTTTTTTAAGGAGACATCTCCCCTCACATATTTCTGTCTCCCTCTCCACTTTGTGTTTCTGACAGAAAGCAAACTGGAAGATGTGCCTTGGCAAGTCGGCTGTAAAGGTGATTCAAGCCATCCACGGCTCAGCAACAGACCTGTGGCACTCCAGGGTAGATGGCTGGTTAATTGTCTTGAAGGAGAGACCTATTCACTCATCCCTGTGAGTGTCTGTTTTAATGTGTGGAGGCCCTGGGTTCGATCCTCAGCACCACATATAAATAAATAAAATAAAGGTATTGTGTGCACCTACAACTAAAAAAATAATAATAATTAGAAAAAGAGTTTAAAGTCCACTTGGGCAGATTTGACCAGTACACGAACCAAATTACGAACAATACTACACAGTATTTACATGTCAAATTAAATGGGGTTTCTTGCTAGATTCTGATTCTGGGTAGTCACAGCAACCTTATTCTGCATGTCAAATGAGGGCTTGTTTAGACTTAAAAAAAATCTTAAAATTAAATAAAATGGGAGATTGGCCCTTCTTTTCCCTAAACTCTTAAAAAATCTGTCCATAATCAAATATCTCAGCAAATTATACAACATTACTTTATGTGCACAAAGTTATAACTTAAACTTTGATAATTTTTATTTTTTACCAGAATCTGTCCCTTAATCTGATTGCAGAATTTCCTGTACTGTTGAACAAATTCCTATCCCCTGCTGAATAACATTAAAGTTACTGACGTTTCTCACTGATAACAAAAGTTGGTTGACTGAAGGGCATTTTGTCTGCACAGGTATTAATCAAGTAATTAATTTTATAGAATGTCTATAATAATAATACACTGCTTTAAACGATAAGGCTAAGTTACCCATATCTTCACAGTATTGGAAAGTCTGAATTTGACATGGAAAATGATGTTGGTCTTTGGGCAGAGATAAACCCCAGCACAACTTCCCGAGGATTTAGATAAGGCTCACAGTCAGCCCAGGAGCATGCTAGCTGCCCTCCCCAGGGAGCAGTGCATTGGTAAACATAGAGGGGTGCCAGGTAGGTTGGCAGAGGTGAAGGCGATTCACCAGCTAATCAGTTCTCAAGCCTTTGGAGGTTTGTCACAGTTTTTCAATCACGCTGTGGACAACACAATTTCGTGGTTAAAGGGAAATCCATTTATCCAATGAAATTTGCAGCATGTCTCTCTTGAGTTTTGATTTCTAAGTTCAAGACTAAAAACAAGTTATGATTCAGGTTTTTTTCCCCATCATGGAAGCTAACTTTCTTCTCAACTTTTATATGAGAAATCTTCCAGATAAGCAGCTCTCAAGATTTTGATCCCATTCATATTGGCTTTATTTTGATGCTTTGAACTGGTTAAAAGTTTCTTTAATCTTTTTTCATCTTTGGCGAAAATGCCCAACGAAAAAAGTGTATTCAGAGAAAACATGCCCTCCTGTTGGTAACTTTTGGGTAATTCAATATTTGAGTATCTACTTGTTTCTTTTCTAAGCAATTTAATCTTATTAAGATTAAATTCAGTTATGATAAAAGCACATTCGCTAAAAGGGTAGATATATTCCCTGCTATTTTACAATTTAAGGCCCTGGTTATAAGCAATAAACAAACAAAAGTGCCACTTAGGCTTATTATCTGCTTTTTGGGAGGATTTTCCCCTTAGTACATTCTGTTTATTATTCTAGAAAAGAGTGGGTGCATTTTTAGAATTCCTCATAAGTTGGAGAGATTTGATTGCACTGACAGGAGAATTGTGTGGCTGCTGTGCATGAGTGGAGAACAGAATGTTTGAATCTTTCTAGTCATGAAAAGGATGAGTCAGGCTCATTAATTTCATTACTATACAAAGTGACAGGTAGACAACAGTGAAAACAAAGCTCCTTGCTTGTCTTGCTATCCACAGGACATTTTTCCTTGATTATCCAATGGATCCCTACTGCTATAGACCAAACATCAATTTTCCTCTCCAACTGTTGTTTTCTATGTTTATCTCAATTTATTTTTCTCCACGGCAATTTCATCTGTCCATTTCCCAATTTATAGCACCATTTCTTCTTTTGGTTTCCTGGTTCTTGGATTTGAACTTTCATCTTCACTCTACAATGCCCGTGATTCTGGGTTTCCTTTCTCATCCTGTTTTGCGGGAGCTTCTCTATGCCAGTCAATCTCATATCCAGTAAAAATTTTTTGATGATTTTTTTTTTAAAAATTATCCTTTTGTTTAGAGTTTGTATTGATAAGCAAGGTCACCGTGAGAACATGACCTCAAGATCCTGTATGACTCCTGCTTATTTTTGGAAGCACATATAGGTCTCCACTAAGAATGTTGATTTCATTTGGCTTTCTCTTCTTGGCCAGAATCAGAACACTTCTCCTGACAGATCCTCCCGAATGTCTGCCTGAGTCGTCACACACATGAGCCTTGATTTCTTTTCTCATCCACATTTATTCATGCCTTTGCCAGCCACCATCATATATCAATGCATGTTTTCTAGTGGCTTTGTGACTCATCCTAACACAGGATGGCCACCCCCCAGAGTGGTACGGTTATCTCCCTTTTCTCTGCTTATGTGAAGCATGACTTAGGCTGGGCATATGGTAATTCTTCAGCAAATACTAATTGAAGATATTAAAGTATAATTAGAGGCAGAGAAAGTCTTCTTTAAATATTGTATACACACAGCTAATGCGTGGCTCCATTGAACACCTTATTAAAGTTAAATGGTACACTTAAAAATATCTATATGTATAGATACATATACATACACATACTTGGATCAAATTCTGATGAAGTTTCAGAGATGCACCAATTTTTCCACATCATTTAGAAAATTTACAAGTATTCCTTGCTTTTTGTTTTAGATGGACAATGGAAATAGCAATAGGCTCAGTTTTTTTCTTCTGTTGACTATTTTTCCTAAATAATTTTTCTGTCATCTGACCTATTAAAAAGATTCTCTTAAATTGTATTACTCATGCTAATATGGTTCCCCCTTCTTGCACGAAGGACTTGCAGTGTTTATAATTTTGTCTTTTGTTTGCATAGTTCTTTCACTTTATAAGACTCTCTCAAATTATCTTAACCCGTTTGACCTTAGAATATAAATGGTAACATAGCTAGGGTGGATTGCATCATCTGCACCCTATGAAGATCTGAAATGTGGCCTCCATAATGGGACTCTGAGAGTTGGGAATCATACTTAGGTCTTTGTAGTTCAGCTTTCATGCTCCTTTCATATTCTCTTTTTGTGTCTGTGCTGAAAATTGATCAAATACTAATTATATTACTGATAAGAAGACTTTACTTTTAAAAATATATTAGATGTTGTATTTGTATCAGACTTATATAACTAAAATAATTTAAAATTATTTATTCCAAGTCAGTGAAAATAGTTCCTCTTAAAGTATAATCAATAATAATCATAACAATGGGAAAATGGCAAATATAAAAAAATCATAGATTTTAACTTCAAACTCTGCTGCTTAGATTCCTGAATAAATTTGATCACTTTCTTTAATCCCAGTTTCACCATTTGGGAGAGAGGGGTTAATTAAGTCCTATGATTGTGATATGCAGATATTTCATATGTAGAATACTTACTATAGTGGATAACATGAAGTAGAATTTTAAAAATGTCTACTATCTTTTGCCAGCAAATCCTATTAAGCTTTATAACTTGAAAATGCTGAAAACTTGCCCCCAAAAAGTGAACTCTAAAACTTACCTAGATAAAAGATGGAATATAAGGAATTTTATATGTATTATACAACTCCCAATGTATTCAACATGTTCTGACTTAATGATATATCAGAATGTCAGGGTAACATTATAAAATAAAGACTGCTGTCAGGAAACTGAAAAGTGAGATATTTTGATAGTATTCAAGCTATTCACTGGTAAATAATAGAAATAATAAATCAAACTTTTGGAAGGATAAAGAATAGTCCTTTGAAGCACAGTGGCCAACAACAGTTTATGTTATTCAAATAATGCAAGTAGCATTAGAATAATAATAATTTTGTACTAATGGAAATAAACAACATGCATTACTTAGTATTTTTGATAATTAGTCAACTCAGCCAACAATTCCCAAGATAAATGTTTTAACACAGCAGTAAAGATATTAATGGTAAGATTTTTTCACTTTCTGTTGGCAAAATGATAGGTTTAGCTTGAACACACTCTCAATTGTATAGTGGATATGCATTAACAACAACATACTCTTAGGTACTGCTCTTTTCTTTTTCCCCTTCAAAATTGGCTAAGTACTTTAAGTGACTTGAGAAAGCTACCTTGAATTCAGCATTTATTATTCAATAATTATTTACAGACACTTAAATTATAAGGATCATTTTTATTAAGACAAACTTTAGATTTCAACCATGTTTTCCACTGAGTAATTTATAAAATAGTTAGGCTTTTTATTTCATTTAGTCAATATTATCTCCCTTCATAGATGGTTTTTTTTTAAGTAATTCCTGTTTCGAATCAATCAGTGACGATAAGATTTGAACTTAATTTAGGACTAGTTTTTCGTCCTTCATCATCTACGTTGTTTCAATGTAAATGCCATATTTATTTACAGAAAACCTTATTTCCTTCTATCTCTATTTGTAATTTTCCAGAAAACAAAGTTAGAAGCCTATAATTTTCTTTTGGTGGTTTTGACTAATAATTGTAACATTACCTGAAATTTACATTCTCATATAATTTACTAAAATAGTGAAGTAGCCATATTTTCTTAAGGGATTGAAAGCCATAAGACTTACTGGAAAGCATAACTGTGTTTTAAAAATTTTCTTCAGTATCTTATTTATATGTAACCATCAAAGTCAAGAAGGTCATCACTAAACAAATATTATAGTGTTTATATCCTTATAGGATGATTACATCCCAATTATCTCACTATACTGTGGCCACTTAAAATTCTTTGAAAAGCTATAGTAGATATGTTATTAAACATACTGAGGCAAATGCCTTTCAAGAAATGTAAAGTTTTGTAACTGAAGTTCATCTGAATGCTTTTCAATGAAATTATGCAACATGGGGATTCCAGTGAGCAGACATGGTTAAGGGTCAAATTACCATCTCTGAAAAAGATGTATTCATTTCAAATTAAATATTGCTGTGCAGAAAAGAAGCAAAGAGCAGAGTACTGGATATAAAATCACCAAAAGTAGGATCTTCAGAAAACAACAACAAGAACAAAGAAATGAATGGTCT